TTTCTTAATGGCAGAGGAATATAGATAGCAATGAATGTTATGTCATTCATCAAATCTGCCTTGAAAAACTATTTTCTTTTGAAAGCAAACAAAAGCAACAACAAACAACAAAAACCTAACTGCTCAGTTCCCAGTTTTTAATTTCTTATTAGCACTTTCTTTCATTCTATTTATGTATTTTCTTCTTTCACAAATTCTATTCTTCACAGATTAAAGAAGAAAATACAAAGTAATTTTCTTGTTCATATCCTTTCTTGCTGATTAATGTTGCTTATATCAGCAAGTCTTAGGCTTCTGAAGATGACAAAATTAATGTTTGCTGTGTTTAGTGCTCTTTATTAGAAATTGAGACATTTACACACTCTTATGTGCTGTTTACCATTTCTGTTTCTATTCTGTGGAGGGAAAAGGAGGCTTTCCATCTCACAAGAGTTTGAAAATTCTATCAGAACATTTTCACAAGACTGGTATGGAGGACACTGTTCTCATCTTCTTGACAAAATGTCAATGAAGGGCCATGGTGCACTTGAAGCCGCATATCTATTTTGGGCAGTCCCTGAAGTTGAAAGACAAGTATGGGCTCCCAGTGCTATCCGTACAGTGTTTGGTCTTCGATATCCTCAAGAAAAAAAGCACATTCTACAAATTCTAACCTTTTCTTGTACACATTTAAGTAAGGTGACATGTAGATTGATTACCCAAACATCTTGGCTTTGGAAGTTTATATGGAATACCACTCTGTGGTAAGTGACTCCAGTACTCTGAAACACTGAGTAACCAAAAAGCCAACAGTTATATGGCCAAGTGGCCAGCCTAGGGAGACATAACCCTTGCTCTTGTTTCCACAGATTGACAACTGCAATCTCTTATGCCATTTTAGGGTGAAATATGTTAGGGATATTTGTGTGATAAATAGAACTATACAGTCTAAGAACATAAAATACTGGGAGCTATGATGCTTAAGGACGATAATGTTGGGAAAGGCATATATGTGGGGAAACCTCAAAATTGAAGAGTCATATTTCAAATCAATCATTTCTAGTTATGGGGTCAGGACTTTAAATCTCTGGTAAAACATTTTCTGTTTGTCAGGGGAGCAATGGTATTTTAGAGTTTTTCAAAATCATACTTAAATTAACCAGGGCTGTGTATTTTAGTTCATTTTGCACACTGGGCTAAGTCTACTATTAGTAGGATTTGCTTAGAAACATGATTTGGTGGTTTTAGAATTATTCACAATATAATTTATGAACATTGTAATATCAACCTTGTGGTTTGCAAATAAGATAAAAGGCTATAATAAATAAGATCTATTACATTTCAAATCTTTTAAAAAAGATTTTATTCATTTATTAGAGAGAGAGGGAGAGAGAGAGAAAGGGAGATAGAGAGCATGAGGAAGGGGGAGGGGCAGAGGGAGAAAGAGAAGCAAATACCCCACTGAGTGGGGAGCTGAACATGGGATTTGATCCCAGGACCCTGGGATCATGACCTGAGCTGCAGGCAGATGCTTAAACAACCGATCCACCCAGGTGCCCCTCAAATCTTTTTTGAGTGGTAATTTCTGTTGCCTTGATCATTTATGCTTCAAATACTTACTGAGTACCTTCATGATATAGGAACTGCCATCCTGTGATGAACAAAATATAGTTCCTGCCCCAAGGCACAGGGTGAGAGAATGCTGGGTGAATAGACAATTGCCTGTCTCGAGTTCTCCCATGTGTTTCTGTGCCCGTTAGTATTTTTCATAGAAACACAAATACTGTATGGGCCTGTTGATCACCATATACCATCCCTGCTGACTACATGCACATTCTCTTGAAAACTGTACTCATTAGAACTTTTGCTGTAAATTTCCCTGTCAGGAATCAGAAGCCCTTCAGTATAAAACAGTGTATGAAAATTGAAAAAAAAAGTGTATGAATCACATGAATGTCCCATCACTATAACATGTGTTTGCAGTGGTTTGCAGTGTGTTTAAATGATTTTCTTCTCATTTCCATTGCCTCTCTGGCTTGAGTCTTCATTACCTAGTCCCCACATTATGGTCTCCTACATGGTCTTTTCCCTCATCCTCACCATACTTCAGTTCTTCCTGACATGTACATCTTATCCTTATTTCAGGTGTACCTAAATCCTATTGCCATAAGTACATTTTCCTGACCACTCCCAATGACACTTATTTATCTGAACGGTGGGGTTTTATATCTGTACAGTTTGGCACTAGGTCATGGAATATCTCATTTTGTTGGAGGATTGTTTTATGTGCATATTTTGCCTTCCTGGTATAGCAAAAAGCTCCTTCTGGATAGGGAGCCATGTCTTATGAGCTCTGACTAAACTGTCATATAGGTAAGTCTTGTGAGTGTCTTGTGAAGTTTCTCTTTTTTTAAATTTTTTTAAATTCTTTATTTAAATCCAATTTAGTTAATGTAAACTGTATTATTACTTTGAGGGATAGAGTTTAGTGATTCATCAGTTGCATACAACACCCAGTGCTCATGAAATCAAGTGCCCTCCTTAATGCCTATTACTCAGTCATTCCTTCCTCCACCCACCTCCCCTCCAACAACCCTCAGTTTGCTTCCTAGAGTTCAGCATCCCTTAGGGTTTACCTCCCTTTTTATTTTCATCTTATTTTATTTTCCCTTCCTTTCCCCTCTGTTTTGCTTCTTAGATGCCACATGAGTGAAATCATAGTATTTGTCTTCCCTTGATTTATTTTGCTTAGGATAATACTCTGTAGCTCCATCCATGTCACTAGAAATGGCAAGATCTCATTCTTTTTGATGGCTGAGTAATATTTCAGTGTGTGTGTGTGTGTGTGTGTGTGTGTCTGTGAAGAAGTGATATGTTACCACCTCTTCTTTGATCATTCATCTGTCAATGGACATCTTGGCTCTTTCCATATTTTGGCTATTGTGTACATTGCTGCTATAACCTTCCACTCTTTTCTTCTGCTCCTCGTCTTCTGGGACCCCTATTACCTAGGTATTGCTTCACTTTATGGGATCACTTGAGTTCTCTAAGTCTCCCTTTGTGATCCAGTACTTTTCTTTCTTCTTTTCAGCTTTCTTATTTTCCATCATTTTATCTTCTATATCATTGACTTGCTCTTCTGCCTCATTCTTCCTTGGTTTATATACTCCATTTGGGACTGCATCTCGGTAATAGCATGTTTAATTTTGGCCTGACTGGATTTTAGTTCTTTTATTTCTACAGTTAAGGATTCTCTAGAATCTTCTCTGCTTTTTTCAAGCCCAGTCAGTATCTTTATAATCATTTTTTTAAACTCAAGTTCAGACATTTTACTTATATCCATATTGATTAAATCCCTTGCAGTGAGCACTACCTCCTGTTCTTTTTTTGGGGGATGGGGTGAATTTCTCCATTTCATCATTTTTTCCAGAAAAGAATATAAGAAAGAGAAAAAAAAAAACCCGATAACAACAATAGGAAAAAAACCCAGAAACAAAACAACACAAAACAAAACAAAACAAGAAAAACAAAACAAAACAAAACAAGAAACATAACAAAGCAAAGAACTAGACTGGGTGTGATTTGGTCTGCTTGTTAAAAGAAAAGAGATCCCAAAACAAGAAAGAAAGAAAAACTTATATATATATATACAAAAATAAAATAAAGTACAATGAAAGGAAACAAATATATATAACACATATATAAAAATAAAAAATAAAAAGAATAAAAAATGAATTGAAAAAATAACAACTGAAAAAATAACACTGAAAGACTAAAGAATTAAAAAAAAACAACAAATGCTATATACTGTTTTCCCCAAGAGCTGAAGTTTTGCAGCCCTCTATGATCAGTAAACTTGTGTGAGCCAGTTGTTCCTGCTGGTCTTCTGGGGGCGGAGCCTGTTGCACTGATTCTCAGGTGCACTTGCCCTCTTGCACATGTGACTCTCTTGCCAGGAGGCTGGACTGTAAGCAGCTCCAAATTCCACTATGACGCTGTTTTGTTACCTGAGGGCTTTCAGCACTGATGGGTAGGATGATTATGGCAATGCCCAGCTCTCTAGCCCGGGAGCTGAAAATTCGCACCCCCCCCCCCCCACGCTTCACTGAGCCCTCACAGAAGAGCGATCGATCACTCGTCTCTCCCTGGTCTCTATCTCAACTCTGTTCACCCAGCCTGTGATGGAGCATTTTTATTTTAGGCACATGACTGAGTTTCAAAACTCCAAATTTTATGGACTCCTGCAGTGTGGACCTGTGCTGTTCCTCCTGGGGAGGGAGTGGTCTTGGCATGCATCTGCCTTTTGCCGGCCTGCTGCCAGGAAAGTGGTCACATGACTGCACAGCGGTTTGCAGTTTATGGCAACACTGAGCAGAGAGCTTGCACCTAGACTCACTGTTCTCAGTTGCTTCCCCACTCCTGTGCCTGGGAAATCTGCTGGACCCAGGCACCCTCATTCTTCCTGTGACCCCAGGGATCCTGAGACCATGCTGTCACACCGGGATTCTAGCCCGCTTCCCCACCTGAGCACCTTTATGCCCAGGACATCCCCCACGGTAGCAGATTCTAAAAGTTTCGCTTTTGTGTTCCGCTGCTTACCATACCGTGCGGTAGCCTCCTTAAGCACCCTCCCTCCCCTCCGCCATATCATCAGATGTAAAGCCCTGTATTCAAGTCTCTGCACCTCCTATCTTGCATGAAATGGTCACCTTTCTACTCATACGATTGCAGCATTTCTTTTCTCAGATGTCTCCAATTGATTTTGCAGGTGTTCAGAATGATTTGATAATGATCTAGCTGTATTCATTCGAGGGACCAGGCAAACCTAGGAACCCCTACTTTTCACCATCCTAACTCCACCCTTGTGAAATTTTTCTTAAATTAGACCCTCAACGCCTTAGGCATAGTATTGAGCATCCAATACAAATTCAAAAGTCACATCCTGAAAGGCTCCAATACCAGGTTTTTCTAATGCCAGTGTACACTACAGTTCAATGTAATATTCAAAGTGAGTTACTTACTAAAGCAAATTTTTTGTTGAGAATCATCTGCTCCACCAAAGATGACTCATTATGGAAGAGGTGAGGTTGCATATGGCTCCACATATGAGGAAACCACCAAAACTCATCCACAGACCCCAGAAGATGGTCATCGCCTTCATCTTCCTCTTCAGTTCCTTCAGGGGAAAAGGATTGTTCAGTTAATTCCAGTTACAATGATTGCCTATCACGCCCATGTATGTATTTAGAAGACTCCATTTATACTTTCTTTGATACACAGAAGGCTTTAAACATGAAATGTAATAAAGAAAAACTCGTTCCTCAGGGAACAGCCAGAGACTGTGATGAAACTCTTTTTAAAAATTTTCAACATGAGCCATGGGTATAGAATTACTGCAAAATGGAAATACGCAACCATTCCCAAGGATATTAGAACTCTTTCAGTATCTGTATAATCTGTAGTTTAGAGAGAATGGGGGGATAAGTAGGAAATGGAATCAAGGGAATGTGTACAAAGAAATGAGTGGCAGAGCTCCAGCAGTAGGTCATTCTGACATGGGTTGTGACACCCCAGTCACAATAAAGTAATTCCATATTTTATTTGGGTTCCTCATTAGCTCTGAGAAGAAGCTACTGAGTAGTTAGTGAAAACTAAGGCATAAATAAGGAGGAAAAAAGGAAATGTAGGAATTGTTTTTTGGAAGATTAGAGAAAATTGAAGGGAAGAAAGGAGAAAGGATGAAAGTGAAGGAAAGAGGCTGAGAAGTGGTAAAGTCGGAGTAAAGCAAGCCACGCTACTCCTTGGCGGTACTTGGGTTTCTCATGATTGTCCTGTCTCTCAAGTTCCAGAAGCAGACTTTCTGTCAAGAAACTCCTGTTTCCTTTAGAGTCAGCTCTGTTGTCATTCTTTTGTTTTTTCCTATTTGGGCACATTTTATTTCCTCTGTTTTCCCTGCAGTTTAGGTGAATGGGTGAGAAATTCCTCAATTTTAACTTGAGGGGGATAGAACTCCCTTGGTTTCTTTACCAAAGCCTGGAATGAGATCCGTAGAGGTTGCCTCACTACTATCCAGGCATATCATAAGATGATATTAATCTCCACAAAATTACACAACCACACTTAAATTTCAGCCACGACACTGCATCTAACAAGCTGCTAGGATATAGAATAGTAGATTCTTCCAATGACGTTCCCTCTGCGTGGAGAAAATGCTCTCTTGTATTTTCAAAAATTTCATTTTTAGGATATGATTGGTTTTCAATAGTGCCCTATGGGCTAAAGAGGGAGGGCAGACTGCTCTCCTGGCCCAGCCAGTTGTGTCTGCTACTACTGCTCTTCTCTTCATTTTTCCCAAGAGAAGGAAGGCAGAGCCCATTGGAAGGAAAAGAATCAGATCCTCTGATTTACTGGGCGGTGAAAGTGACTTACCAAAGATAAAGGCATAGCACGAGGCTGCACAGTCCTCATTGATATAGGGACAACAAGGGTTAGTAATGTAGAATGAGTGGAATGACATAATTCTTCAACAAGGACAGACTTTAATTTCACTTTTATATGGTTAAATACTCAGCTGATATGAAGAAACTTTTTTCCTTATATATAAAAAGCACCTTTAAATTTAACCTATTATATTTCCCTAATTTTTTCCTCTTCATCACACATTCATGTTACCAAAATATAGTGGAACAAGGAGAGCCTTTAGAGTTAGAAGTTTTCAGTTTATTTGTAGCTTCCAACACATTCGAATTGTGTGATTGTGGACAAGTCACATAACTCCTTTAATGTCTGTATTTATGCAGGTAAACAATGGATAGCGATACCTATTTTATTCTTTTGGGGAAGGAAGTGGCACTATAATCCTGGCACATATTAGGTAATCTAAAATGCCTTTTTCCTTTCTTTTCATGTTTCTTACCCTTGTTCTCCTTGTGTCGTTTACGGGCCTCCTTGCGTTTTATTTTTTCCACGATGATACTGCATGATGTGTGGGGGGAAGATCTCACTTGGGTGTTATGTGGCAGATGGGACACTGCTCAAGAATTGACCATGCCATCATATTAACTGACTGACCTGATTAGTGAGTCACCTGATTAGTGAGGCAAAAGCATTCTTGGGGCTTCTGAGTGATTATTTTACAGTTCAAGAGAAACGTCTAGAGAGGAATGCAAGGGAATATGAATATATGGATTCAAGATTTAGAGTCTCTGATGACCCCAATCATTACAGGGTCTTCTTGGGTCCTGCTACCTTTTAGGTGATAAATATGGTGGCCATGGTGAAGAAGCATTTGTTACATTGACTGGTGTTGTTTAAATATGTGGTTTTTTGACATAAGGATGATGTCATTTAGTTTCCCCACAATTAAACATCTCTACTTACATCCAAGAGACTGTCCTCTTTCTTAACATTTTGTATGTCCTCAGGACACCATATTAGTTAAGATTACCATTGGTTACTTATGGCGGTTTTATTTTCCATTACTGAAAAGAAGCACAAGTCTCTGGGATTTCCCAGTAATCAATGCATTCCTGACTTCCACCTCCTCTGGATAAAGTGAATGTGGGTGGAGTGAGATGAGATTTCCTAGATTATGAAAACTCACCCCTCTACTGCTTTAAATCTCTATCCCCTATCCCCTATCCCCTGTAACTCCTATCTTTCCCTGCAACTTTCTTCTTATCTCTCCTTTGTTCATTTTTCTAGTTGGACTTTATCCATAGTTTCCTTATCAGGACAGTGGAAAGGTAGCTTTGGAAGGAGAGCTCAGGCATTCGTTGTCCTTTCCTGAATATCATGGTGCCATCTGCTATTAAAATAGTCATACATTTGAATCATGCAGAAATTAGACAAATGATGTCTGCCCTCTGATAGATTTATATAAATTCATAGTGGGCATAAATGTATGCCTTTCCCTTTTTCCTTTATAACTCTGATCTGATTTCATTTAATCCTCCTTTGGGGATGTTTTATATCAGAATTAATTATATTGAGAACAAGTGTCTATTGCTTATTACTTTAAACAGTATGATAAAAAGCAGTTGAAACATAGCTGTGGTTGGATGTCCTGGATGCTTGCCACCCCGTGATCTCCTAACTTTGCCCACCTTTGTTAGAGCTGGAGGAGGAGAGAACCAGAAATCAAATTCCTCAATTTTAAGTGTCATTTTTTAAGGTGTTAGAAAACTATGCTGAAATCTTAGAGTTATTGCAAATTATTATTTTATTATGTATCTATTTAAATAACTTATGTCTCATCAGTATCTTATCTTCTGTTTTTCCTGCTTTGATATTCAAAATCATCATTGATTGAGACTCTACCTTTTGTCAAGCATTGTGTTAACTGTTTTATAAGCATCGTCTCATTTAATTCTCACTAAAACCTTATGAGATAAGGGCTACTGCTAACTCTATTCTTCAAATAAGGAAACTGGTATTTAGAAAGGTGAAATAATTTGTCCCACATCACTGACAAGGTTGGGACAGAACCTGGTGTCTTACTGGGAATTTTCTTCTGAGTTGTGGGAGGTGCCCAAGTGAGGAAAGAGGAGAAATCTTTGAGAAACAACAAGGAAAGGCAGCAACTGGCTAGAGTCATTCTTTAGCATTCAGCATTGGACAAAAAACCGAGTTGCCAGGAGAATTTTCGTATATTTCTATTATGTTTGGGAAAGAAAGCTTTTAATTATTCTTAGTTTTTGCAGTGATTTTCTTTCACAACAAAACATGGTCAAATTTTATTCTCTGACTTATAAATTCTAACCCAGATTAAACAACTCCAAACTTAGTGCCCTTAACTATCATGAATTGAACACATTTGGAATTTAGAAAATAAGATCATCATTTAATTCAATATAATATTACTCTTCACATTGGTAATTAATTCTGTGGTACAGTTAGAATTTACCAATATTGTTGGTTCTCCAAGGTTTGGGGAAATACACAAACCTAAAGAACGTATAGATAAAGAGAAGGAACGCTTTGCCATTCAGCTTCCTTTATCAAGGATTGCCAGATAAGCAATAAAAATCCAGTTTATCTAACGCATAAGACTTGGGCTCTGCCTGACCTAAAGTTGAAACTATTTTTGACACTTAACTAGCTACATGACCTTGGGCCCCTCTAAATTTCTACTTAGAAAGCAAGGGAACATATTCTTTAACTCCTAGGCTTCATTGAAAAGGTACATGAAAAGTGCTTAGCTAAGTACCTACAATACAGTGTTGCTCACTAACAGGGAACTATGATTTTATTTCCTTCATCTCTTATGTTTCTGCACAAACCCTTCAAAAACTAAAATATACCAAACAAAATGGAAACCCTCTCCTGAAAGAAAGTCTTACTATGATGAATGTGCTGTTTTTCTCCTTCCCTTCAAGGTTGAATAGAATAGAATTTTTAACAGGAGAATGAATTACTCATTTAGAAAGAATTTTTAACAGGAGAATGAATTACTCATTTAGAAAGAAGACAATGTAATTCAATTAAACATTACAATTTCTAATTTTTGAAAGATTCAGAGTATTAAATTTTACATCTTTTCCCACTAAAAAGTGATTATATTGTTCAGATAACCCTAGCTAAGTTTTTGTGGAAGCTTTCATATCATACACAGATAATAAGATCCGTTCAAGCCTTGGCCTTAGCTTTATTCTGTGTTCTACTTTCCTTGGCTTGGGTAGTAGACATCCTTACTGTGAGCTGTGGGAAGGGTCCAAGTAAGGAAAGAGGACAGATCTTTCAGAAACAAAAAGGAAGGAGAACAATTAGCTAGAGTCACTCTTTAGCATTCAGCATTAGCCATAAAATAAGTTGCCAGAAGTATTTTCTCCTATTTCTATTATGTCTAGGAAAGAAAGTTTCTTTCTTTCTTTCTTTCTTTTTTTAAGATTTTATTTATTTGAGAGAGAGAGACAGAGAGAGTGACAGAGATAGTGAGAGAAAGCAGGAACAGGGAGGAGAGGGAGAAGCAGACTCCCCACTCCTCCTAATGTGAGGCTTGATCACAGGACCCTGGGATCATGACCTGAGCTGAAGGCAAACACTTAATGGACTGAGCCACCCAGGGGCCCGAGAAAGAACATTTCTAATTATTCTGAATATTTAGAGTGATTTTCTTTCACAACACAACATTGTCAAATTTTATTCTCTGAAAAATACTAATAGTTAAAATGAAAGTGATTTTATTTTCGCTCAGTCATTTGTTCATTAATTCATTTTCAGTAGCCACTGTCCTAGTTGGTGGTGTTAAAACAGTGAAGCCTTCATGGAGTGTTCATTTTAGTAAGGGAAGAGAGACAACAGATAAAGACAAAGTGCATTCAACACCCATTTATGATAAAACTCTTAGCCATCTAGGAATAGAAGGGAGGTTCTTTAAGTGAACAAAGAGTGTCTAGGGTCACCTGGGTGGCTCAGATGGTTAAGTGTCTGCCTTTGGCTCAGTTTGTGATCTCCAGGTCCTGGGATCAAGCCTGTGTTGGGCTCCCTGCTTCTCCTCTCACTCTGCCCCTTCCCCCTGCTCATGTTCTCTCTCTCTCTCTCTCTCTCTCTCTCTCTCAAATAAATAAATAAATAAATAAAGTCTTTTTTTTTTTTTTTTTAAAAGAGTGTTTACAAAATAGTCTATTGAAAGGATTCCCCTTGAGAATGGGAAAAAATCTACTGAGAGATTTCCCCTGAGGTCAGTAATAAGACAGGAGTGTTATCATCACCACTTCTATTTACTTTTGTACTGGAGATATAAGTTAGTGCAATAGGTAAGGAAAAAACAATTTGTAAGGCTCAGAAAGGAGGAAGGACAATTTTTAAAATCCAAAAATTACACGATGTATAGGTAGGAAATCCAAAAAGTGTCTACAAACAATAGAAATAGTAAATGAACATAGCAGAGTTGCTAGATGCAAGATCAGTACACAAAATCAGTTGTATTTTTACATATCATCAACAAAGAAATGGAAAATAAAATAAAAACAAGACACCATCTGCTACTGCATCGAAGACTGCCACCAAAGAATAAATCTAAAACCAGTAAAGTTTTACTAAGTGTAATTAAAGGTGACCTAAATGTGTTCAAGGATTGGAAGACTCAATATTTAGGATGGCATTTCTCCCTCAAATCAATAGATTTAATGCAATCTTAATCAAAATTCTAGCAGGTTTCTTTGTGGATACTGGTAAGCTGGTTATAAAATTTATATTAAAATGCAAAGGACCAAGAATTTCCAAGGCAATCTTGAAGAAGATGAACACAATTGGAGAACTTGCACCAGCAGATACTAATATTAGTTATAAAGTTACTGTAAATAAGAGTGTGATGTGGCATAGATCCAATGAGCAGGAGAGTCTAGAGTCCTCATATATGGTTATATATGACAGCTATGACACTATGGTGCAATGGGAAAAGGAAGGTCATTTCAGTACTTGGTACCGGTTAGATAACTTTGTGGAAAAAGAAGGTATCTTGACCTCTGTCTCACACATACACAAAAATCCATTCCAGGTGGATTTCAGATTTATAAGTTTTAAGAAAGTAGGAACATATTTTTATGATCTTACAGTATGCGAAGATGTCTCCAAAAAGATACAAAAAGTTGACCACTAAAGGAACAAAAAGATGAACTGGACTACATGAAGTATTTTTGGTCACCAAAAAACACCATCAGAAGTGTGAAAAGACAACCCATACAATAGAAGAAAATATTTGGAACACATATAACTGACAAAAGGCTCATTAAGAATATGTAAAGGAAAAAAAAGAAAAAAGAATATATAAATAATTTCCACAAATCAATAAGTAAAAGCATACAACCCTATAGAAAAAAAATCTCAGTTCACAAAAGAAGATATCCAAATAGCCCATAAATATATGAAACATGCTCAATTTTACTGCCCATAAGAGAAAAGTACCTTAAGCCATAACATATCTCTACAAGGTCACCAAAAAGGCTAAAATTAAAAAGACAAATAATATCAAATATTAGTGGGAATGTAGAATGACAGGAAAACTCATATACTGTTGAGAATGTAAATTGATAGAACCATTTTTGAAAAACTGTCATCTTCCTACTAAAGTTGGCCATAAGTGTGTTATATAACCAAAAATTTTACCTCTAGTTGACAGTCAACAGAAAAGAGTAGTTATGTTCTCTGAAGGATGGTACAAAAATGTTCTTAACATGATTATTAAAAAAAAGAAAAGAGCTGAAGACTAGGAAAAAAACCCAACCATCTACATTGGAAAGGAATGGAATAAAGAAATTTTGGTATACTCCCAACAATGGAATGCAACACAGTAATGAAAATGGAAGAATTACAGTAATATCTGTAAAACCAGAATAATGTTGAATGAAATGAGGTGGCTACAGAAGAGTCCTTACTGTATGATCCTTTTACACACATCTCAAAGCCGTGAGAACTAGTTTGTGATATTAGAAGTCAGGGTAGTGGATTTCTTTGAGGGAAGCTAGTGGCTGTGAGGAAGCACAAGGCGGTTTGTGGGGGTGGGATTTGGTACCATTCTCTCTCTTGATGTGCGTGCCGCTTTGTGAAAATTCACTGAGCACTACATTTAATACTTATGCACATTTATCTATGTAAATTATAGTTCAGTAGAAAAGGAAAGCTGTTAGGCCATTAGAACATGGTGAATAAACTTTCAAACCATCCACATATTGTAAATGTTAAAAAATGATATATTAAGTGGAATTGAATAATATGAAGAAAATAAAAATGGAGAGAGACATGGAATGTAGGAAGGTATGAAGAGAAGGAGGCACAATTTTTAAATAGAGTAGTCAGAGAGGCCTTATGAGAATAATTAACTTCCGTTTTCTTACCTGTATGGTAAAATTTTCCTGAAAATCCCAGGTTGAACGTAAAATTTGTGATTTGTGCACGCAAAAGATTCTGAGTGTCAAGCAGGGCCTGAAATACACAGTTTAAAAAAAACCCACATTATCCGGTGAGAGAATGGTTTTGAGAAGTTTTAATAGATAACTTCCTTTTGCACTCAAAGAGTAAAACTAGTCTTTTATACATGGGAGAAAATGATGGAAAGTAGTGTTTTTACCACTTTACAACCAGAGAGATGCTTTCAAGATTATGTAAACATATACATATATTTATCCTTTAGCTTGCAATAAATCAGCAAAAAGTGTCAGCTAGAAAAAGGAAGTTACATGAAAAGTTTATTCTGCATATATTAAAGGAACTATTATCTAGTACATAAAATATATCTCCTTTCACTTCTCAGCGACATAGATCACCAATTGTCAAAAGAAGGACACTCTTTAAGTGTAACTATATAAGAAGGTATGTTGAAACAATCATTGTTACTTTTTGCATATGTCTTTGCTCTTCAAAATCCAAGATTTTTCAATCTTTGAGTCTTAGATTCCCATGAGATAGTGATCGTTCTTCAAAAGGGGATATCACAATAAAGTAAATCTCCAATTTGGGCTTTCATTAAAAAACAAACAAAACCCCTACTTCTGATAGTGAAACTCTTAAAACAGGGTCATCTTATAAAGTATTTACCATGCTATGAATTTTTAATGGACTTCTTTTCTTCCTTCTCCTTCTTTTCTTTCTCATTCTCATTTAAATTCTTATTCTCATATTCCTTCTCTCCCTGTCATCCTCCCCACACAGACTATGGTATCGGAGTACTCACTTCAACTAGGCAAAAAGTAATACTAAATGTTAGATTTGTAAAAGATGTAGTAAACACTTCTTTTACACACAGGGAAACTGAGGAGAGATGACTTGCCCATTTTCACAGATAAAATTAATGGTAAATCGTAGATTGAGGATAGCTTGCTTGATTCCATATTAGATACTCTTTTCCCCCCTTTCCATAGTATAGCTGGGCCCACAATAAGATCTTTTTCTTTTTTAAAGTAGCATGGCTGACACCTGGAAGCCTTGCCCGCTCAGGTTTAAGGTTTCAATCTTTTTTTGGCAATATAAATAGATAGACCTTTTATTCAGAGATTATCCCATGATTGATTGTATGCCTTATCTGTGCATGTATGTGATTCTTCTTATTGTGTAAAAACAGAGGAAGAGGACTTTTGAATCTCAAATTTAAGTTCATCTGACCAATGACAAGTTTTTGAAATTCAGGTATCTAAATCTTTTTCTATCACTACTCTGTCTACTTGAACAACTTCCTTTGATTTCTCAACTGAATTGGGAAATATGTGGGTCTCAAGGGCACTCAAAAATGGAAGACAGGTCTGTTTGTGGATTTCCATGCCTAAGTACCGAAGCAACAGTGTTAACAATGGCAATGTCATTGGCAATGGCAATTTTCATTAAATTCTGGTATCACAAAGCCTGGACATGGGTTGGGCAGAGGAAGAAGAATTTGGCCAGTTCATCAGTGACAGAGTAAATAGTGGGACCCAGAATCCTATTGTGTGAAGGGGTGGGGAGTGGTGTAAGGTGTGAGCCTTTCTCTTTCTGTCCTAATGGAAGGAACATAAGGTATGGAGTAGGAAGGTATGGATTGAAGTGCCAGCTCTGGGATTTAGAGAAAAGGCATTTAAGACTTGGGAGTCAGATTGCTTCAGTTGAAATTCTGGCTCTGCTTCTTCTTCTTCTTCTTTTTTTAAAAATTAAATTAAATTAAATTTAATTTAATTTAACTTAATTTTTTCAGTGATCCAAAATTTATTGTCTATGCAGCACACCCAGGGTTCCATGCAATACGTGCCTTCCACAATACCCACCACTAGGCTCACCCAACCCCCCATCGCCCCCCTCCAAAACCCTCAGTTTTTCTCTCACAGTCCACATTCTCTCATTGTTTGTCTCCCCCTCCGATTTTGCTTCTATTCAGTATTGGGCATGTTATTAAAGTTTTCAAACCTCAGATGCATCACATGTAAAGTAGGGATAATAATAATTATCTCATTCCCTCTCTCTCTCTCTCTGCCTGCCTCTCTGCCTACTTGTGATCTCTCTGTCTCTGTCAAATAAATAAATAAAATCTTTAAAAAAATAATAATTATCTCAGAGCACTGTTTTGAGGGTGACATACTTTTATGCTCTTGGCACAGTGACTGGCACATATTAGGTGCCCGACAATTATTAGTTGCTGCTCCTCTATTATGGCTGCTGCTACTATCGCTATTATTAATATGGTTGTTGTCATTGGCAGTAATGTCAGACAATTCATATTCTCTGAACTGTTCCCTTCATTTATTGGAGTGGAGACAATTATCTAACTCCTAGAGTTGTGATGAGGATTATAAAAGAGGTAATATATGTGAGGGCTTAATAAGCATTTTTAAAAAGTGGCATAAATATTAGGTGTTGATATAATTATCAACAGTCATAATATATATGTATATGTATTTGTAAAGATTTATTTATTTGAGAGATAGAGAGAGCATGAGCGGCAGCAGAGGGAGAGAGAGTGAGAGTACGCAAGTGCATATTAGTGGGGAGGAGCAGAGGGAGAGAATCTCAAGCAGACCCCCCACAGAGCACAAAGCCTGATGCGGGGCTGATCTCAGGGTCCTGAGACCATGACCTGAGCCAAAATCAAGAGTCAGATGCTTAACTGACTGAGCCACCCAGGTTCCCCTTATATATGTATATATTATATATTACTGACAATTATATCATCTATCTCATTTACTTAAAGTTGTTTTTCTCATTTTATTTGCCTTCAGTCTTCTCCAGCCTTTCTCCCTGCTGCTTCTTTTTCACTTCTCTCCAGTTGAAAATTCTAGCTGGCTCTTCCTTCCTTTTTGATTTTATCTTCTTTATCCATCTTACTTATTTCATTTATTCATTCTACTTACTTTACTTAATGGTTAAAATATGGATTTGAAATCCATTTTAAAATAATTTCTTGTGTGTTCAGTGCTTTAAAGTTGGAAGTTTTTCTATCTCTTTGAAAAAAAAATCCCCAACTAAACTTGAACTTGAACTTTCTGCTTTGTGACTTTTGATTGCCTTTTAAACCCACCTCTCAGGATAAGTTAATATTATGATGGAATTCTTTCCCATTTTTACCAATAACTATCTAAATATATGCAGATCTATATAGGTATAGGTAAGTGAAATTAGAGCCATAAAGCAAAAGTTAGAACTATACCAATTATTACTAAAAATACAGTTTCAAATTTTGCCTATTTATTTATCTATCTTTTAAATGTTTCGTTTGTTTATTTGAGAAAGAGAGAGAGAAAGAGAAGGATACAAGCAGGGGCAGCAGCACAGGGAGAGGGAGATGCAGACTCCCCATCGAGTAGGGAGCCTGATGCAGGGCTTGATTTCAGGACCCTGAGATCATGACCTGAGCTGAAGATGGATGCTTAACCAACTGAGCCACCGAGGCATACCGCCTTTGTCTTTTAATAGTATATTATGAGCTTTTTCCTGTAACATTAACCTTCCAAAACCAAATTTGTTAATGAGTGCAGATACTGCATCAAGTTGGTGCCCTACAATTTATTTAGCGATTTCATCTTACTCTTGTACATTTAGGTTGTTTGCATTTTTTGTGTAATATAAATACTGCTCTGTGTATGCATACATATTTATATAGCAATGAAGTAGCCATTTCTGCAAGAGGATAAGAATAATTCTACTCACTTTGGCAAACAAAACAATTTTTTAGCAAATTTGAAAATGCTATGAAAGTATTAAAAGAGAACATAACATCCACTTAAAATTATATAGATTAATAGATTTAATAAAATTAAATAGAATTGACCTATGAATATAATTTAACATGAAAATTTGACTATTTCCAAAATGATTTTTTTCAAATCTTAAATCTGAATGCTCTCCTACAAACTTAGTTTTTTGAGGGTTTATTCCACAAAGCCAAAAACCCTTGCAGGCATTAAGAGATCCAGTTGAAGGCCAAGAAGATGTAATTTAAAGAAATTGAGCTCTAAGAACTGAGCAACATGGGAGCTTTTATGTATCATTGGGCTTTCTCCAACTTTCTTTAACAGAGGGAATATATCAATTAAAGTAAATAAATCAAAGATGAAATTTAAAAATAATTGCAAAAAAAGTTTTATATGGAGAATCATGTTAGTATTCATCACATGTGTGACATTCTTTGAGGGAACGTTTACTAATTTTGTGTTTCTTATCTGTGTTTCCCAGATGATGACCTGTTTTATCTTTTATAAGGTAACTAAAGGAGTTGGTGAGCCAAATTAAAGCTGGGGAAAACATTTTATTGCTGGTCGTGGTTTTTCAGCAGCAGGCAAAAATAGTGTTTCAGCACAGAATTTTTAGTCAGTGTTTTCTTGATTAGCCAAATACTAGTTATAAACATATGTAATCTCCTAAAGTAAATGAAAATGATTGGGCAGCTAATTGCAGAATCTTGTATCTATCTCCTCACAAACGTGCACACTCTGGCATCATAGGCATTAACTTAAAAGATCATTATTCCCCCTTCAGACTGGATGCATGATTTATATAGTTGAAGTGACTTCCCACAGTCACAAAGTTAGTTAAGTGCTGAGGAAGTGATTCAAGCAAAGATTTTAGATTTCAAAGCTCACTGCTTTTGTTGTCCACAGACACAACAAGAATATTAAGGTTGAACACTGATACCAGTGATGTACAGAGCCATTGGTGACAAAATCCACTAGAAGGGAGGAAAAGGTGGTTTTTCGTATCATTTTCACTCATTGGTTGCCACTCCTAGTTTCCCAAACACAAAGGTGTGAGGGGGATGGGAGGACTAGGTTGGTCAGTGAATAGCCAGCCCAACCAGGAATATTTACCCCCAACCCCAGCGTTCATACTGAAAAGCAGTCCCTCAATCCACCTCGTGTGGAGCGGACTGCAGGGTGGTGAAGAGCTGAAATGCCATAGCTGGCACCTTGGTCTCCTCCTCACAGGTGCAGAACTAGGAAAGCTCTCTGTATAAGACCTGTTCCCAG